ACAGCATAAGACCTATAAACAATCAATTTTTATAAAACATGATAAAACCTTCTTTGGCTTAATTTCAATAGTTCTTGTACCTTAATTATTTAAAATCATGAGCTTTCTACACCAGATACTTTTTAACAATTCCACAGAAATACAAACATGCTTTCAGACACAGAAAAAGCCCTTTGGATTTTTTTTTAACCAAACTTTGATATCAGCATAAGAAAATATTTGAATTGTTGTGTGAGCACAAAAAGGATGGCAACAATCTATCTTTCCCACCGCCAGCGTTCTGTAGTTTCCCCCACTCCAGGGAGGTAGATGGAGATGGGCAGGAAAAGGAAGGAAACCTTATGGCCAGGCTGCTTGATCTTAGTTGCAGTTTATTCCAATCCTCTCTCCACTCTCGTACCAAAGACTAGCCTGCCTAGAGCTGGGAATCTGCAACCCAAAGATCAGGCCTGGCTAGCACCTGAGATCTCCGTATCTAAGACCTGCTAGGTTCTGTGAGAAAAAGGGAAACTGCCTCTTACAAATTTTTCATAAAAGTTAGCTGAGGCTTGTAAGACAAGTTCTTGCTTTCTCTGAACTCTTATTTCACTTTAGTTTCAGGCTCTAGTTCCATAGCTCTTCTAGACAGTACAAGATTCTTAAGTTCAAAAAGGATTTCAACTGTTAATAATATAATCAATGTTCTTCTAACAAGAAATTTAGATTGAGAATTCTGCTTTCTCTGTAGGCTCAACCTTCTGATAAGGATTAACCCTTGTCTAACAGGTTCCTAAAACAACTGCATTTCTTAAATCACTGGGTTGCATGTCACTAACTTCTCTAAAATTTCTACTTCTGATTTCAGCCTGGTTCCAACACTCAAGTGTTCCACACAGACACACAGACAGACAGACAGTCAGACACAGACAGACGGACACAGACAGACAGACAGTGAATTGACGAAAACACCACACGTACATGTGCACATATCTGTAGTTGATCGATCAATCTGACCCTTCAAAAAAATGGCAGGGAGAAACTGATGGACTGAGAAAGGAAGGGACAGCTCCCAGGGCGGCTGATTGGGAACTCTGCTCCTCATTTCCCAGCCTAACTAGTCAGTCTCCCACTTGTTAAAAATGGGTCAAGAAAGCGCTTTTGTTGATATAAGCCGGCAAAATAAACTATGACAAAGATGTTACCATATTTTCGCCAAGGCTAATTCTGAGGCAGGGAACTAGTACCTTCCTATCAGACATGGGGATAGGCTTCTTTGTTTCTGATGTCAAACAGTTTATCATAAGATCTCGCATTTTCCTGCCTCCTCTGCTTTGATACTCTCCTATTTCTTTTGTTACCTGCAAAGATCTGACTGCAAAATGATCTGGTAATGCAAACTGCCATTCACTGGCTATCTTTCCCCACTATACTCAGGCCACATGGTGTTACAGAGGTCAATAAGATCTCCTTATCTAAAACTACCTAGTTGGAAGCTCCTCAGATGATTTCCTAATTGCAAGCAATAATCTATGAAAAGGGATGGTTCCTTGGCAAAACTTTTCTCCAGGTCTATCACTTTTGCCTCTCCTAAGGGGACTCTAACCTCCCTTAAATTGGCCTTTATTCAGAGGCTCATCTCTACCTGGGTGGGCCTGGCTTTGGGCAGACCCACAGCTGTGTGCCTGAGCCGAACTTAGTGCTGTGGTCTTAAAAACTCTGCTCCTTAAAAAAAAACAGTTCTGCCTTCTCTCAGCTTGCTACATCTTCCCTGCTTTTGCTGGCTTGCTGCTTTTCTTAGGCTTCTTACCTGCCTTTTACCCCTTTTTTTTTCTTTCTGCCTTACATCTGGACTGCCTTCATTAGCATTTGAATTGACCTCTAGCTGAGACTGGGTGGGGAAAAGGATTTTCTGCCTGTAAATTGATCTGCCTTAGTTTCCCAGAATCTTCTCACTAGTGGGCTTTCCTCCCATCCCCCCAATAGTGGATGGTGACGCAAGACAGACAAAGGAGGGGTGCCTCTTTGCAGAGACTATTCAGATGCTTGCCTGGAGGAGAACTTCACAGCAGATCTTCCACAGATTACCTCCTTTATCTGAGCCACAAGGTTTGGAGAGAAGGAACCTCGTGGGGGCCAATCCACACCGAAGGAAGGTCATTCTGATGAACAATAAGTGTCAAATTTACCTTTCTTGATCATCAAGCCCAGATCCTGAGCTTTCCTGTGGATCTCAGAGAAGTGATCAATTCTGACCCGTATTAAACAATCTTAATAAACAGAATTAGGAGAAAGATAATAAATACACACACTATGGATACACGCACAGATCACACTTAGGCACTCGCTCGGACCGGTCCACTCTTTCACACGGGTGTGCACCACACTCACCAGTCACCCTGGGACTCCCAAATATGCCCAAAGGGCATGCACATGATTTTTCACCTCCAGAGGGTTTAGTTCTTCCAAGTGAAGAGATCAGAAGTAGGGAAAGGCCAGTGCTGGCCCGGGAGTGGCAATAGAGAGTTCGGGGTTCAGGGGCAGAGGAGGAGCAGAGTAAGTGGGGGCCCCTTCTCCCCCCGGCCTGGCACTCCTGCCTAAGGCTCCTGGTCCGGGTACCCCCGGGGAGCAGGCTGGTAAATGACTCCCTTGACCTGGAAGATAAGCGGCGAGTGGAACGATCCCTCGGGGGGCCAACCAATCTGGAACGTCGGCCATCCTGCAGAGCAAAAGGTCTGCCATTTAGGCTTTTTAACAATCAGAAAAGGATTCTGAGCACGAGAGCAGACCTCTGACCAGTGGGAGAGAGTGAGTGAGAGGAGTGGACGGAGATTGTCCCATGGTTCCAAAGACGGTGTCTCGGTAGAGAAAAAGGACGAGCGTGATCCAACCTACAAAAAAAGAATGACGCAAGCGCAAGGCCTTTTGGAGAGGAAAGAAGAATAGAGAAGTAATAGAGCGGCCGATGATTCCTGACACACCAGATGTAGCCTCTCCGAGGCTACCACAAAAGAGGCCTCCAGGCGTCCCTGGCCCTCATCCACCTCCGGGGCGTCCCCCAGGGCTGCAGCCCGTGTCTATTCCCGACACGTCTGTCAGACACAAGGCTCGCACACACAACAGTGTGCTGCACACCACTGTCACTGTGCTTGCACACCACTGTGCTTGTGTCACCGATCGGTAACTACAGTAAAACGGTACCGGAGAAACAAAGAGAGAGAAAGAGGCGCCTTAACTTACCCCGCGGCTCAATCCTGCGTCCCTGGGGCAGGGTCCTCGGTGATCTCGGTGGGACCTCCAAATGTTGGGATCGGGAGTTCCCTGGCCCTGGGAGGCGCGGAGAGACCAGATAGACACAATTCCTGCAGGAGTAAAAACGGGGTTTATTTAGACCAGCATGCTGGGGCTCCGCAGCATACCCCAGAAATGGGCAGTGGCTGAGAGCCCCGAACTTCTTCAAAGGGGATCTTATATAGGCCTTCACTGGCCGTTACAGCAAAGCCCGCGCATTTCATAGCCAATAGATTTGTAACAACATATACTTTCTTAACCAATCCATTTAAAAGTACCTCACTCCTTAGCCTATAGATTCAAAGATCAGCATTTACGTATATCGATTGTCAGCACAAGCAAGGTTATAGCTGGAATCATTAAGCCTTAGGTAATCTCCCTTGACCATCCTCGTTTTGAGTTACCCAAGTCTGCAGGGTGCTTTAGTGAGACAATACATTCCAGGAAAGGGCAATTTCCCCCAACCACCAGCATCCTGAGTTAGCCTTTACCCAAATCTGCAGGGTGCTTTACTGAGACAGTACATTTCAGGGACAGTAAATACACCTGAATCTTGTAGAAAGAAGTTATGCCCTGTTCACTTTGCAAGTCCCCTCTCCCCCAGGTGCAAAGCAGCCAAGCAGTTTTACAGAAAGCAATGTTGCAAGTTAGCTAAAGTACACAAAAATTTGATGCCCTAATATGGATTCTTTCACCACCTCTCTACAACTCCATGGGATTTTAGCCAGTCTGGTAATGTGAGCTTTCCATGTCGCAGCTTCCTTATCTGTAAACAGAGAAAAGACAGTGTTCTCCAGAGGCCAGAAAGGTGGCTCAGTGGGCAAGCACAGACCTGTGGCACTGTCCTCCCGTTGTTCATCGATTTTCTCGAGCGGGCCCAGTAACGTCTCCATTGTGAGACTTTGTTGTTACTGTGTTTGGCATACTGAATACGTCACGGGCAGCTTGCCAGGCTTTGCCGTGCGGGTGAGATACTCTCGGTAGCTTGCCAGGCTCTCCGAGAGGGGTGGAGGAATCGAACTCGAATGGGCCATGTTGGCTGCGTGCAAGGGAAACGCCCTACCGCTGTGCTATTGCTCCAGCCCAAGCACAGACCTAGCATGTGGAAAAACTCTGGCTTCTATCCCTAAAACCGTAAAAGCCCAAACACAAACTCTCCACCACTACCAACCCCAGCCCCCACCAATCCCATCCCCTGGGAAAAAACTTTCAAGAGCAGCTGTCAGGGTTGAAAGAGCTGAGCTCCATCCATGCTCAGGGCACATTCGCAGCTGCTGTGATTTGGTTATTTCCCCCATCACACAGCTGATTCTCAGTAGCAGACACATCAGGTGTAGGCTGGACCTCAGAGAGACCCAAATCCTCCCCAACCAGTAAAATAAGCCTGCGTTTTGGCATGACTTTTCAAGACCTATCACAAGGCTCAGGACCCTCTCTGCGCCTGCACTGTTAACTCTTCCACTTCATGCTTCTTCTCTAAGTTTGGCAGGAAAAGCCTCATCTGAAATGGAAGAGGGGGGTGGGTGGCTGTGCTGGGAGACCCCAGTGCTGGCTTCCACTTCCCCAAAACAACGGGGGTAGTGGGAGAAGGGAGCTGGCCTGCTGGAGTGGGGGTGGCCAAAGGCATTTACAGGAGGGAGGGAGGAGGGAACTCACCTCCAGATGGGGAGGAGTCAGGAAGCAGGGAAATGAGCCAGTAAAGAGGATCAAATTCCTTTCGCTGAACTCTGAGACAGTCTGTGGAGGGCTGAACACGGGCAGCCTTGAGGGCAGTGCCCAAGGAGCCTCACGCAGGCAGACTGCCCAGCTGGGAGCCCTGGGAGGGCCTGGCAGTACAGGGCCCCATTGCCCGCCCCTACCTGTCCGTGCGTTGAGAGGAAGAGACCATGGAGCCAGACAGGACGCAGATAAAGCTTGACCCCAGGTGAGTGCGGGCACATGCTCTGAACAGTGGGCTCGTCCAGCCCCCACCCTTTGGCCCCCAGCACCCAGAGGAGGCCAGACCGATAAGACCTTGGCTACGCCCCTGGGTACTCAGGGATTCCTGGGAGATGGGGACGAGTGGGGCCTGTTGCTGGAGCAGAAGACCCATTCTCTCCCTGCTGTTTCTCCTGCTCCCCACAGATGCTGTGAGATGGGGACTTAGGCCCTGGGTGCCCCAGGGCAAAGCCAGCCTCATACCCTGGCCTGGGCCCGTTTTCTAGACCCACAAATAAATGGGGCTTTGAGGGGAAAGAGCAAATTCTTCAAACCCAGGAGCGTTGGGGAAAGTTTTGAATCCCTGGTGTGGTTTCTGTCCTTCGCCTTCCTTCGGTCCCCATCTTCTAAATAGACTGGTATCCATCTAGGTACACTGAAGATCTTCTGGAGGTCCTGAAGGCCAACTATGGGATTCCCTCCGACTGCTTCTCTCAGCCTCCCACGGCCAGCCAGCTTCTACAGGGTGAGTCAGGGATCCTCCCAAGGGAAGTGGAGAGGAGAGACTGAGCACTCTGGCAGGAAGCCAGGACAGTGAGGGGACCTGAGGAGAGGCTGAGAGCCTGGCCCACCCAGGTCTCATGTGCTGCAGGCCTCAGATAAAAGTATCAAGCAGACTGTAGGCCAGAGAGACGCCCGACCACCACACTCAAGAGACAGACCACATGTGGGCCTCCCTAGGACATTCTAGGATCCTACCCCAAGCCATTTGGGGATTCAGTGTATTAACTAAGGCCACACATACCCCTTCCCCTAGGCCTGACCACAGCCCCTGTGTAGGATATATATATATGGACTTGATTCGGGATGAGGTTCTTCAAACTGAGGTGAGGTGGTAAAGTGTTTACAGAGTGGGCATGTTGGCTCCTGCTGCTGAAAGACAGGCCCTGGTAGAGCCCAAAGGGCCAGAGCATGAGCTGAGCAATTCTTGGCCCTGAGTTTGATCCCTAATACCACAAGCGCCTCATCCCCCAGCACTGCCTGGTCTAGCCCTGGTGACACCCCCACTTTCCCAGGCTATGACTAGGGTAGCCCTACCTTCCAGCACCTGGGTCTAAACACCAAGCCTGTATCACAGGGAGTGACCCCGGGCCCCTAGTCCCACTGGAAGATCCCTGTTTTCAAAAACCGGTAAATGTGAAAGTGAAAGGAAGGGGATGGGACTTAGCATATCACCTGGATATGGACGCCACAGAGACACCGATGCCCCCTCACTCTTTTTTGCAAATATGGCCACATCTTCCCAGGAGACCCTGTACCCACTCAGCCTCTGCCTCTCAGGCCTCCAGACACTTAAGAGATTCTAAATGCCTTTCCCAATCTCCATGCTTCTCTTACTTCAAGGAGGAAGACCTTTTGAAAACCCAGATGTGGTAACTGTGCCTCAGAAGGCAAACATGGCATGAGCTTGCAAATATGGCTGAGCACCCAGAGGTGTCCTTGAGCTGGGGGTGGTCCCTGTCAGCAGGCGCAGCAATATCAGTTCCAGAAGCCCCTCATTCTGAGCACAGTGGGTGGGAGGAGTCCTCCCCTCTACCAGTATCATCCAACAGAGGTGATTTTACTCCCCGGAGACTTCTGCCAGGATCTAAGTACAGTTGCAGTGGCCACAGCTTGAAGATGCTACTGGCATCTGAGGACAGAGGTTAGGTGAAGTCTGGCTGGCACATAGAGCACAAGAAATAGTCAGTGATCAGAGCCAATGTGTCCATGGTGTTGAGAGTTGAGCAGCCCTGCCTGATGCAGTGAAAAAGGTTCTTGTCTTGTTTCACTTCAAGTGTGTAAAGAAAAGCCTCGAGGATATTAAGATTAGGGAGTCATCCTGGCAGTAGAGGGCACTGCCTGGTTGAAGATGGAATGCTCAAACTGGGGAGTGGCTGGGAACTGAGCACTGCCAGGGTGAAGGCCTGCAGGGTGCCCTGCCACTGAGGGTGAGCTCTGAGGGAACCAAAGGCATGGACTGTGCCAGGGCTAGCCCGCTCAGCTGGGGCCCGGTGGGTGGAGCTTGGTGGGTGTCAGAAGAGCTGCCCTTTATCCCAAGACAGAAGGAGCTGGAGAGGTGCCATGGATGGGAGAGGTTGAGAGAGCTTCAGGACCATTAATCAGTAATCAAGATGGACTTTCAGGAAAGAAGAACCTGGAGAAGCAGGGACAAATGGGAGGATATTGCTTAACCAAGTGTGCATTGCAAGACACTGAGCCACGACAGTGTCAAAGAAAGGAAAGGGAGAGCCAGAAAGCGTGTCACTGCAAAGAAAAGGCAGGTGACAAGGGGGCCATCACTGAGGGAGGCGATGGTGAGGGCATGGGCAGAAACAGGAGATTCAGGAGGAGGAAGGGGTGAGGATGGGGAAAAATTCCTTTCCCCTTTATTCTGTCCCTTAAAGGATTTCAGAATGATTTTGCAGCATTACTCTCAAAAATCAAAATGTGGAATCAACCCAAATGCCTATCAATAGATGACTGGGTTAAAAAAAAAGCGTGGTAGACAGAGAGAGAGAGAGAGAGAGAGAGAGAGAGAGAGAGAGAGAGAGAGAGAGAGAGAGAACAGGTTGTTGGGAATTTGCCTTGCATATAGCCAACCCCAGTTTGATAGCTGACACAAAGTATGATTCCGTAAGCTTGCCCGGAATGACCCATGAGCACAGAGCTAGGAGACCCCTGAGCACCTCCAGGTGTGGTCCAAGTCTCCCTCCAAAAAAGAAGCTGTGGTATATATACACTGGGAAATAGTCTCTGCCATTAAAAAGATGCCATTGCACTATGTGGTACAAAGTAAATGGAACTTGTGTTAGAAATATATGCAGGAGGTAAGGCACTTGTCTTTCATGCAGCTGTAGTGGTGACCCTGGTTCAAATCCCAGGGATCCTGTATGATCTCCCAAGACCTATCAGGGTTCATTCCTGAGCACTGGCACTAGGTGTGCTATCTTCTCCCCCAAATAAAATTTAAAAAATCAATAGAACTTGAGGTGATTATGCTAATTAAGTGAAATAAGTCAGGAAATAAAAGACTGGATCATTTTATGTATCTGTGTAATATAAATAAGTAAAACAACAACAACAACAACAACAACAAAACCAGAAAAACAAACTCAGACTCGTCAAAAATTATAGTAGTTGCCAGAGAAACAGGAGGTGTGGGGGACTGGCAGAGGTCTTTTGGGCCCTGGGGGACACTATAATGGGTACTATAAATTCTGTTTCTAGAGAGAGATGTGAACCTATGAAATTCTATACTATTGTAATCTAATGATAAAGGAGGGAGGGGAAAGAAGGAGCTCTTCCAGAGTGCTCTTGAACCTTTCTCCAAGAGAGGGTGCTGGATCTGGCCCCAGGACCTCAGACATTGCTCTGTTTCTGAGCTACCTACCTCACCCCTCTACTGAACCTTTCAATAGACCATTTTTTCAAATGCTTGGGATAGGATTGCAATTATACTCCTTGTTGAATTTTGAATCAGCTGATCTAAACATTTACATGGAAGAGTGAGGAACCAATAAAAGTCAAGATCATTCTTGAAAGTATAAGGAAGGGAACTGCCCTACTCAAGATGAGGCTTATAGAAAGGCTAATAACTAGAGCAATGAGGTAATCACTGCAAAAGAGCTGGCAAGTAGAAAATGAAACAGACTAGAAGGCCCAGAAATAGCCTTGAGCCCACCTGGGGAACAGTTGTGTGCTCATTGGTGGGCAAGGTGCAGGGAGAAGGCCACTTGTGTTGCCTGTCTCTGCCTAACTCCAAAGAATCAGACCAAATAGATTAAATTCCTAGATGTAAGTGTAAAATACATCCATTGCACTGCAATAGATAAAAATGCAAGTATTTTTACAGGAGAAACCAAAGAGCCTTTAGTATGAAATTTCTGATTGGGAGTAAATAAATTTTTTAATTTAATAAACAAAAGTCAAGAAAGCACAAATTATCATAAGAGTATTGACTCAAATAAACTTCTGTACAACCAAAAACACTAGGAACAATATTAGAGCCTACTGGAGGCTTGAGAAAAATAATTTTAAGTCTCTAATAAGCATAGGATGAGTAGTCAATATAAAAAAGTTATCAAATAAAAATTCAATAAGATATAGACCCATCAGTTCACTGAAAAAAAAGTAAATATATAAAAATATCACTTTTTTTAATGATTAGAGAATGCGAGTCAAACTGTGAAGTTAAATTGTGATAAATTCACTGTTATATAGGTAAAAACAAAAAGACTCATACTCCCAGCGACATTAAATTTGAGACAAACTGTGAACTTTCACGTATTGCTGGTGAGTGAAAATTGATCTTCTTTGGAGAGCAATATAGGTTTCATTTCATACAACCCAGCTCTTCTATTTCTAGGTAAATGTTCCAAAGAAACTCTCCTACTGCAAAGGAGACATGCCTGGTAGTATTTATTGCAGCATTTATTTATGATGGAAACATAATAATAAAAAATAATTATGAGCATGTAAATAATAAAAATGACAATAATTGGGGTTGAGTTGAAAAAAGCATTTTTGACAAGATACTGCTAGTTATATAGCTCTTTTAAAATGAAAAGCAATGTATACTGAGCATGCATATGTGTTGTAAAAAATTAAAACATTAATGACCAATACAACATATGCCTGGAACATACCAGGCCCGGCTTCCATCCCTAGCACAGCATAGCCCTCCAAATACCAGATGTGGCGCTGTGGCACGCAACTCCTGCTGGACCTGAGCCCCGCCAGGAACGGCCAACGCCAAGGACATTCAGTATTGGAGACTATGGTCTCCACAACAATATGAACAAAAAAATAAACTGTATTGGCATGCTAAAACAACAACAGCTCATAAGTGAGAAGCCAGAGAAACAGCTCTATGAACTGGGCACATGCTTTGTACCCAGGAGGCCTAGGTTCTGTGCCCTGAGCACTGCTACAAGCACAGAGCCAGGACTAGCCCCTGAGCATGACTAGGTTTAACTCAAAATTCCCAGTCTTCACAGCCCCCGAACAATCGATAAGAGACAAAACGTACACCAACTTCAGAATAATAGCTCTCGCTGGGGGTAAGGTGTGAGAGAGGGAAGGCATAAGGATTGGGACGTAGAGTCAGAGGTTTTCCTATGATGTTTATATGATGTTTATTTTTCTAAAACATTCTCTGAAGAAAAATAAGCACATTTATAACTCCTTAAAATAGGACACAGGGCTGGAGAGGGAGCATGTCTTACAAGCCATATGGTCTCCTGACCTTGCTGAAAGAGAACTCAGAGTGCAGAGCCAATAGTAAGCCCCGAGCACTACTGGGCGTTGCCCCGAAACCCAAACAGAGTACAGTGGGATGCAGTGACCAGAGAGAGAGAGAGTTCTGGCGGTAAGGTGCTTGTCTGGTGCAGGCCTGACCTGGGCCCACTTGTCAGCATCGCCTGTGGTCCCTGAGCCCTGCCAGGAGCAAACAGGAAGTGCATGCCCCCCCCACAACAAAACGAG